CTCGCTCGCTCGCTCGCTCGCTCGCTCGCTCCGTCGCTCCCTCGCTCCCTCTCTCGCTCCTCCCTCGCTCGCTCGCTCGCTCGCTCGCTCGCTCGCTCGCTCGCTCGCTCTCGCTCGCTGCTCGCTCCGCTCGCTCTCGCTCGCTCGCTCGCTCGCTCGCTCGCTCCTCGCTCGCTCGCTCCCTCCCGTGCTCCCTCGCTCGCTCGCTCGCTCGCTCGCTCGCTCGCTCGCTCGCTCGCTCGCTCGCTCGCTCGCTCGCTCGCTCGCTCGCTCGCTCGCTCGCTCGCTCGCTCGCTCGCTCGCTCGCTCGCTTCGCTCGCTCGCTCTCCGCTCGCTCGCTCTCTCCCTCGCTCCCTCCTCGCCTTCCTTTCTCTCTGTCTTCCCCTTTCCCTCCTTCTTTCCCCTGCTTCCGCCCCCTGTCTGGCTCTCTGGCGTCCCCCCTCTCCCCCTTTTCTTTCTGTCTCTTTTTTTGTTTCTTTCGCCTCCCGTCTCCAGCTTATCTCCTTTCCTGTCTTTCTCCCTATCGATATTTTACAAAATTATTCTTATTAATTATGAATATTGGAGGGAAAGATTTATCAAACAATTATATGTATATACAATATTAAATATAAATTTAAAAACAATAAACTTATTATAGAAATTTAAATTAATTTAAATTTAGAAAAAGAATCCTTTCTTCGAGTTTGAATTTTAACCACAATTTTCTTTAAATAACAATAACATTAATTATAAGTTATTTATAATTAGATGGCAACTAAAGACTATAAACTAAAGAATATCTATTAAAAAAAAATCTTAAATATAACTACTTAAAAAATACTTAATAATTTAAATAAAAACAATAAATAACATTTAATTAAATGTCTCTTAATTTCTATACGTTGATCCCGGGAACACATAGTGTGGCATAGAGAGTTGTGTAGAATATTTTTCTACCTTTTCTTGCAACGAAAACAAGCTTTAAAAGCACGTTTAATGGCTCGGATATTATGAATAACTTGTTCCTTAAATTATAGAAAAATAAACAAATGAATTTAACAAAATATTATATAAAATTTTTAGTAACGACTAACCTGCATTAAATTGAAACACATGGCAATCAAAGCCATGCCCAATAAAAAGATAAACGGCACATAAAATAAAGCTGACTTCGACTTTGTCTTTATCGGCGGTTATCTAGAAAATTTTATAGAATAAGTATAATTGATTTATGGTTTAAAGGAAAGAATAGACTAACCACACGATCACCTGGCACTAGATCACCAAAACCAATACTGCTTAAGGATATAAAACAGAAATAGCTGCCATCTAAATATCCCCAAGATTCCCATTGACCAAATAGTAAAGCACCCCATAAATATAGCTAAAGGGATATGACAATATTCAAAATAATCTTATAGGACTTCACTACGAGTTTACTTACCTTATCATTATGAAAACACACACTGTTAAAGGTACTGTTATCTCATCTGTACTACCTTTTATTTCGCGCTCATATCGGAATCATCATCGTCCTCAAATAAATCTAACATATCTAAACCATTGGACTCTCGACCACGTCCTAGACTTCTGGAAGAGCTGGAAGAAGTTTCACTTTCTTCGCTATAATAACTAGTAGCACTCTCCGAGCTATTGCTACTGCTAGTGCAGGAATCATATTTACTACGTCTTGATTCTTCCATATCGGCCAGCTAAATGGGGATCAATATTACAATTTAAACAAATATAGACTTTTGAAACAAAACCACTTACCGCTTTACTCATCATCATTTGTCGTAGTTTACGTCGTTCGCGTATTAAACGTCTTCTCGCCACTCCCGGACAAATGCGACAGAGGCAAACTTTTGAATAAATCCATTTAAAAGATTTCGCTAAAACATCACCAATATTTGAGAGATATAGAAGAAACAAAGGCATGCCTATAATGGCATAGACTATGGTGGCTAATTTGCCCCAATCGGAACGTGGTGATATATTGCCATAACCTAAAGGAAATTAGAAAAGAGGTTAGAATATACTAGTGTAAGACTTTTCATTGGGTCGCTAACATACCTATGGTTGTAATAACGGTTAAGGAATATAAAAATGCTCCCGAAAAACTCCATTGTTTACTAATGTCTTGACCCACTAGATGATTGTGTACAACTGATCTTTGGAATTCCAGTAAAATTTCGTTAACTCTGTAAAATATTAAGAACAGATGGTGTCAGTATATTAAAGTAAAAGTGGAAAATCGGACAATGCCCAAGGGGATTTCAATCTGAATCGAACCTTCTCTTATACATTTCGCATCATAAAATCCTATATTTTGCGATGTCTCCTGCCATATACGCTCCAAACATTCGGCCGTAAAATTACGCGTTAACAGACCATACTTTTCGGGCACCACATCTTTGCTGATTTCGTATTCAAAAATCTCTATCGCTTGAAATATAAAGGCGCCACCAATTGTATATAATATTACCAATAATATAATGCCAACATTACTAAACATAAACGCGGTAAATTTACGAAAATGATCCTTAAAACGTTGAAAGGGTGGTTTCTCTTTCCTTTCACGGCGAAACGATTGACGAGGTGTAGACATTTTTTACGCCGTCGTCACTTTAAGTCTTAACGTTTGCTTATACTATATCTGTGTGTTATTTAAATCTTCTTCGATATTTTGTAAAAGGTTTCAGAGGTGTTTTCGGATGACCTCTAGAATTGATTAAATTATATTTCGTTTCCAGTTTGTTTGACATTCTCCGTATTGAACATGAGTTTCTTTAAAGGGATTAAGGATTTAAACGGTAATTTTCAAAATCTCATGGACTGTAAGAAAAGAAAAGAGAAAATTATTTTTCATTTAAATAAAATTATTATAAAATTCATTAAGATTTATTTGTTTTTATTAAAACCATATAAATAATGTAATAATTTACAATTTTACATATTTATTTTTATTTCAAATCCCTGTTGCTGATCAACAGATGTTTGTATTTAATTGCAAATAGTATTAGAAAAAACATTTTGGCAAACAATTATGATGCTTAATTGATTTTCAATAAAAAAAAAACTGAAATTTATAAGAAAAAATTTAATTGAAAATCTAAACAGCCATATCAACCAAATTTAAATACTAAATGTAGCTGCTAACAGTGTTGAATAAATTATGTTCAGGTGTGGAAATAATGTGAAAAAATGTAATAAATCCAATTGTCTAATAAAACTATCGTTAAGTGTTGAATGAAATTAAATAGAAACGTCAAGTTCAATTCTAAACAAATATCTTCTCTTAACATAAAAAATTAAGAAAAAGAACTTTTTAATAGAATATTTTAAAATTTTAGATGATTTTAGTTATTCATACAAAATATAGATTTCTAGTTAGAAATTTGAGTGATCACATATCGAGCTCTCCCTATGTACTAATATTTGTACTACGTTATATATGAAAAATCGGTTTCTGGTCTGAAATATGAGTGATCACAAATCGGAATCTTTATCTCCATTAGATTTTTATTTAAAAAGTTATATTTAAAATGTTCATACTTTTTTGTCAAAAATATTAGTGATCATAAATCGTGATCAATTTCTACTCCACCCATCCATCCATTTAACTATCTATCTATCTATCTATCTATCTATCTATCTATCTATCTATCTATCTATCTATCTATCTATCTACTATCTACCTATCTATATATCTATCTATCTATCTATCTATCTATCTATCTATCTATCTATCTATCTATCTATCTATCTATCTATCTATCTATCTATCTATCTATCTATCTATCTATCTATCTATCTATCTATCTATCTATCTATCTATCTATCTATCTATCTATCTATCTATCTATCTATCTATCTATCTATCTATCTATCTATCTATCTATCTATCTATCTATCTATCTATCTATCTATCTATCTATCTATCTATCTATCTATCTATCTATCTATCTATCTATCTATCTATCTATCTATCTATCTATCTATCTATCTATCTATCTATCTATCTATCTATCTATCTATCTATCTATCTATCTATCTATCTATCTATCTATCTATCTATCTATCTATCTATCTATCTATCTACTATCTATCTATCTATCTATCTATCTATCTATCTATCTATCTATCTATCTATCTATCTATCTATCTATCTATCTATCTATCTATCTATCTATCTATCTATCTATCTATCTATCTATCTATCTATCTATCTATCTATCTATCTATCTATCTATCTATCTATCTATCTATCTATCTATCTATCTATCTATCTATCTATCTATCTATCTATCTATCTATCTATCTATCTATCTATCTATCTATCTATCTATCTATCTATCTATCTATCTATCTATCTATCTATCTATCTATCTATCTATCTATCTATCTATCTATCTATCTATCTATCTATCTATCTATCTATCTATCTATCTATCTATCTATCTATCTATCTGTCTATCTATCTATATCTATCTAGCTATCTATCTATCTATCTATCTATCTATCTATCTATTATCTATCTATCTATCTATCTATCTATCTATCTATCTATCTATCTATCTATCTATCTATCTATCTATCTATCTATCGATCTATCTATCTATCTAGCTATCTATCTATCTATCTATCTATCTATCTATCTATCTATCTATCTATCTATCTATCTATATATCTATCTATCTATCTATCTATCTATCTATCTATCTATCTATCTATCTATCTATCTATCTATCTATCTATCTATCTATCTATCTATCTATCTATCTATCTATCTATCTATCTATCTATCTATCTATCTATCTATCTATCTATCTATCTATCTATCTATCTATCTATCTATCTATCTATCTATCTATCTATCTATCTATATCTATTGTAGATGCGTCCCTACCCCAATCATTCCCCAATTTATTTTGCACTAATTACTCTTAAATCATTTGCAATCTTTGTACAATTCCAGGTATCTATTAATTTACTATCAATTAAAAATATATTTTAAATTTTCTTAAAATTTTATTTCCATCCACACTTCACTATATTATCGTGTGAAAAGAAACGTAAAACATTGTATCGAATGGATCGCAACAATAGAGCGGGATTCCATACCAAGTACAAAACATATATATATTCATATAGTACCAATATAAGGAATAATACATAGTTTTTAATATGTTTATTTTCTGTTTATTTGACTTTTAAATAAACAACAAGATCAGCTACAAAATACTCTTAAAGGTGTAAAATAAATATTAAATTTTTTGTTTTTGTCTTTAATTAATTCGAATGTGAATGAATGATAATTAAAGAATCATAAATTAAAGATGGCCTCTAAATATGGTGAAATTGTAAAAAATCATTAAGAACAATAATAAAGGGGATTGAAGAGTATATACTATAAACTTTTAAAGAAGTTGTTTAAATCAAAATATTTTGGAAGAATTTTTTTCAGATTTTTCTATAACATTATAACATACAACAATTTAATAAAATTTGTCAAACAACATCTCAATATTTTATTGTGGCCTAGAGTATTTCAACAATTTAATAAATAATTTTTAGTCATAAATATTAAAAATTGGGTCAATTAGTAACAAAGCTTTCAAAAAGAAATTTTGAATAGAGAAATTGTTATTATTTAAGATTTATTAACAATAAAATTTATGTTTTAGCATCTGGATTTTCAAAATCCCTTTTAGTTATATAATTGTTTTCAAAAAAAAACAAACAGATCCAATATTTATTTATATAGATATTATTTCATTTCTTACTTATTTTTTTCAAAATTTCAACATTTCGTAATTAAAATATGTATAAATTTGTAGCATCAAAAACGAAAATCAATTAGTTGTTTTAGCATAAATATTTGTTTAGAATAAATTTTAATTGTATTCCGTTAAGAACATATCAAAACAAATCAAATCGATATTGAAATTCCATTTTATTTAACAATTATCTTTAAATTTTGAATGAAACATTCGATACAATATCTTTCGCGTGCACACACACGTTTTCAATGTCGGTGTGAATGTTTTCTGCTGCTACAGGTAGTAGTGCTAGGGAAAACGTGGAAGGTGTGAATGAAATATTGGAACTGAAAATATTTAACATGTTCATAGTGAAGAAGTGTGAACATTTATTATTTATGGATATTATATAGAACTTGTAAATTTTGTTACAAATTTTAACTTAATAGCTTCGTCCAATTTATTATAGTCTAAAACATGGACTTGACTATAGTTAAGGCTATAGAACTGTCTAAAATATCGATTATATAACTGTTCTATATTGGAGTCTATAGAGCTATTTATAGTCGAGACTACAGAACTGCCTATAGTAGAGACTATAAAACTTTTTATAGCCGAGACTGTAGAACTTTCTTTAGCCAAGACCATAGAACTTTCTATAACCGACACCATACAATTGTGAAGCCTTTAAAGCTGTCTATAGTCGAGACTATAGAACTTTCTATATTCAAGACTATGGACAGTCCTATACCCTTGACCCGAGACTATAGAACTGCCTATGGTCAAGAGTATAGGACTGTCCATAGCCTTGACTATAGAAAGTTCTATAGTCTCGACTATAAACAGTTCTATAGCCTCAACTATAAACAGTTCTATATCTTCACTATAGTCAGTTCTATTTATAGTCTTGACTATAGTCAGTTCAATTGCCTTGACTATATACAGTTCATATAGAACTTGTAAATATTGTTACAAATTTTAACACAATTATTATAGTCTAAAACATGGACGTGACTATAGTTAAGGCTATAGAACTATCTAAAATATATGTAGATTGTATAACTGTTCTATATTGGAGTCTATAGAGCTATTTATAGTCGAGACTACAGAACTGCCTATAGTAGAGATTATAAAACTTTTTATAGCCGAGACTGTAGAACTTTCTTTAGCCAAGACTATAGAACTTTCTATAATCGACACCATAGAATTGTGGAGCCTTTAAAGCTGTCTATACTCGAGACTAAAGAACTGTCTATAGGTGAGAGTATAGAACTGTCTATAGTCGAGACTATACATAGAACTTTCTATAGTCAAGACTATGGACAGTCCTATACTCTTGACCGACACTATAGAATTGTGAACCCTTTAAAGCTGTCTATAGTCGAGACTATAGAACTGTCTATAGTTGAGGCTATAGAACTGTCTATAGTTGAAGCTATAAAACTGTCTATAGTCGAGACTATGGACAGTCCTATACCCTTGACCCGAGACTATAGAACTGCCTATGGTCAAGAGTATAGGACTGTCCATAGTCTTGACTATAGAAAGTTCTATAGTCTCGACTATAAACAGTTCAATAGTCTCGACTATAGACAGTTCTATGTCTTCACTATAGTCAGTTCTATAGTCTTGACTATTGTCAGTTTAATAGTCTTGACTATAGAGAGTTCTAAAGTAACGACTGTTGACAATACCGTTATATAGTCTCGACTAAATTGTATGGAACCAATTATTTTCTATTCTATGTTTTTCTCTTTTATGAAATCATAGGATTATGATTTAATTTTGATATTATGACTAATATTTCCAATGTGATTAAATAAGGTTAAGTATATAATCATGTTGAAACATTTTGAACAATCATTAATAAAAAAAAAACAGAAATCTTTATAATCACCCATTTCTTATTTCTTTCTAAATTTTGAAAAATATACATTTAAACATATATTTTTATTCCAAAATTTTGAATATTTATAAGAGTATTTATTCTAGCTTTAATATAATTTATGTTCAATATTAAGAAAATTCTTTTTTTTTTTTATTCAAAATGATTTAACTTTTTTCCGGTATATT